TTCATATGTAACTGAATGTGGTGGATAACGAGTGATGATCAGCCACGTATCCTGCGAAAAAGCAAATGATCGAATCATCTCCTACCTTTGAGTGAGACTGGGGTGAATGTGAAATGAGCTTACAAGACCTCTCATCTGTTTGTCTATTTTTTTTTTAATTGTTGTATTTTCCATATAGTCCGTAGGCAAAATTTCACTTTGACTTGATACCTTTTTTGCTTGGCAATACATTTTAGTGTACTGGAGGCTGGCTTTTCCTGTTTATTGTATAGAGCGTTGAAAGAGTTGAAGAGTTCTTTCTGCCATCTTTGTCAAGTGCATGTGTGTTTGATCTTTCACGGAGTATTTAATCCATCTTGAAATGGAGAATTGGAGCTTATTCTATGTGCTTTTGTGGGTTGGCAACTTTAGCTTATTAAATTTGTCTACTGCATGACAGCTTAGTGTGTCACTGCATGCAGGTTTCCAATTTTTGTAGTGCCTTCTTGCGAGCATTCACAAGACATTCTGGTGGAAATATACGAGTCTGATATCTTAATATCCAATTGCCTTGTGTGGACGTGGTGATTGTATTTTCTTTATCATCTTGTAACTTGGTTTCCTTTATGATAAATGCGCCTTAAAGTGATGCTAACATTTTCATCTTTCAGCTTCTGTATTTGAAAAGCTTCATAAAATGCCTTCTGATTCTTACCCAGCATGGTTATTTTGGTTGTGTTTGGTTCATCATAAAAATCAAGTCATATATATTGTATTTCCAGCTTCTTTTTTTATTCTTCCAAGACACTTTATTTCTCTTGAGATTGATTGTTCATTTAAATTTAAAACGTGTTGCTATGTGAGACTTGTTTATTTTTTGTGTCCCTAGCCACTGAAGCGGAAGAATGGAATGGGAGACTGTGAAGCAGAATTTGTGGAGCAGAACATAGGTCCTAGCTCTAGTGGTGTCATCAATGCCCCACTTCAGACACCAGTGTCAGGTAAAAAGGGAAAGGCCCAAAAAGTTCCAAGGACAATGAAGGCTAATAAAACTAGATCTCAAACTCCTGCGACAAATATTGGTGAGAATTATTATTCAAAACTTTTAATTTGGGCTTCAAGTTAATTATTTATTATTCTTGTGTTAGTCACTGCAGTATCAGTTAATGTTGTGTACTTGTGTTAGTCTTGTGATAGTCCTCTCTCGCTCTCTCTCCCAATGCTGTTTTGCAAGTTGATTTTTGTACTTACTTCCAGAAGGGAAAGAGTGAAAAATTGTAGATTTGATAAATGTTTACCCTGCAGGTTCCTCCTCGGGGAATAATCTCACTCCATTGGGCTCTTGTCGTTATGATAGCTCCCTCGGTAATTAATTATGCTCGTTCTGTTTTATAAATCATCTCTCTCCCTCCCACTGCACGACTTTGGATCTTGTATCAAAGCAGTAAAATTTTGACTTCTTTGATTGGTTCTGTTTTATTTTGAGAACTACTTATAGTGGTGTGTTATTTTACTTGCTCAGGTCTCTTAACAAAGAAGTTCATTAACCTGATTAAACACGCAGAAGATGGTATTCTTGATTTAAATAAAGCTGCCGATACATTGGAGGTAATTATATCTTTCACGTAATGCTTCACTTTCGACGAAGCCCTAGTGGCTGAAAGTTCTTGTTTCAACAGGTGCAGAAGAGGCGTATATATGATATAACAAATGTTCTCGAAGGCATTGGTCTTATAGAAAAGAAACTCAAAAACAGAATTCAGTGGAAGTATGGAAGTACTTTTATAGCCCTTGTTTGGTCTCCATTATTTTCAAAATACATTTTTCTCTCTTTTATTTTTAACCACATTTTCAATAAAATAATATTACACGCAAACCCCAAACTTTTCCTTATTTTTCAACCACATATTCTTCATCAAAATACTATTCCAAAATGCATTTTGGGAAAAAATAGGGCTCAAACAGGCTCCGATAAATTTTATAGAAGTTTATTCTCCATTTAATTTTTACTTTCCTTAAGAATTGATCAGAAAAACGAGAAGTTTCTGATGGGTACAATTATGAAATAGGGGTGCGGATGTCTCAAGACCAGGGGAAGTTGATGTGAGTCTTAACAGCTTACAGGTATGAATATAAAATAAATAAATTGATTCTTGACATTTGCACACTGGTTGACTTGGGTTTAGTTGTAGTCTGAGTGGAATACATGTCCTTTTGCATGCGCTCTCTTTCTCTTTATTTAATCCAGGACAAGTTACATGGTTGGGTATGTCTTGTATAGACCTAAAGATGATCCTCTTTACAAAATTGATGCAATCCTAGTAGAATATGATTGAAGAGAGGAGTAGACCAAAAATAACTTGACCCAGAGCCAACCTCAAATTTATTGGAATAGGGCTGAGTTTGCTGTTGTGGATGATTATGTTAGTTATTTCCTGATTCTCTGCATGTTATGCTCACAGTTTACTGTTGTTGTTTCATTCTTCCCGTTTGTTATAAATGTACCACTTAAATTGTCCCATCCATGCTATCTGAATTCAAATGACCAAAGTGGAGCTCTTCTACATTAGTAGATGGGACAGCCAGGATCAGTTACGATAAGACTCTCATAGCTAACTACAAGAAACATCTTTTAGGTTGAATTTTTCATTTGTTTATTTTGTTCTACGTACTTCATGCTGGGTCCAATCCATTTGACAGTGGATGCATACTTCACAATGAACATAACTGAGCTATAAACTTTAAAAGCCAAAGGGTACTGAGCTGAGCATCATTTAGATTCTGGTCATGTGTTAGGTTAGTCCTCATCATGTCTTTGCTTGTCTCAGGCAGAAGTAGAAAACTTGAACATGGAGGAGCACAAATTCGATGAACGAATAAGGTCATAATTAGAAACTTCTATCATTCCATGAAAAGAAATGTACTTTTCCTGAAGCAATGATGATCTCACACGACTTTCTCATTCATGTTTCTTGTTTCCAGAGAAATGCAGGAAAAGTTGAGGAGCTTAAGTGAAGACGAAATCAATCAAAAGTACTCACCTTTTTTAGTCAACTAAATAATTTTAATTTCTGGTGGCTAACGAACATTTTTATTTTTCCTCTTTGCCAGGTGGCTTTTTGTCACTGAAGAAGATATCAAGAACTTACCTTGCTTTCAGGTCTAATAGATATGGTATCAGTTCAACCTGCAGCTTGGTTATTTAATACTAAACATGGGTTTGTTGTTTTTATTAGAATGAAACTCTTATAGCAATTAAAGCTCCACATGGCACTACTTTAGAAGTTCCATACCCTGATGAGGTAATACTTTCCTTTTTTTCTCGACTTAGTCACAAATACCTTGGACTCTTGGAGTCAGTATATTGTTGAAAAAATTGTGCTCGTAATATTCATTCATGCAATTTCCCTCTCTACAGGTCGTTGATTATCCACAGAGGAGATACAGAATAGTTCTTCGGAGCACCATGGGACCCATAGATGTTTACCTTGTCAGGTATTTTACATATACATTTCTTCTTCCTTTTTTTTTTGTTTGGCAAATTGCATTCACTATTGCTTATCACTTCTTAATCAAGGCTAGACCTCCATCTGAAGAACACAGATCATTTGATATGCAGTTGTTTCATTTTGGTGTTGTCTTTGATTTTTCTGACTGTCACTTGATTTAGCCAATTTGAGGAAAAATTTGAGGAGATAAATGCGCCTGAAGTGGCAGCAAGCATTCCTTCGACATTAGGTGCCGATAAGAATGCTTCTGCAATACCAGCAACTGAGGAGAACCGAGGAAATGAAGTTGATCTGCAAGGAGTAGAAGCTCAAAGATTATGCTCAGAAATGAACACGTCACAGGATTTTGTGAGTGGAATCATGAAGATTGTGCCTGATGTTGATGTAAGTCATCACTACGAGAACAAACAAATCTTTTTTGGTAAATAATCAGGGATTCAAAGATTTGAAAATTAAAATTTAGGACATCATTAGAATTGCTTCAAAGCAAGCGCATCATTTTACAAGAGTAACAAAACCTTGCAGTAAAAACAAATCATAATCATCATCTAAGATTGTTGAATTGTTACAGAAGAATTGGTAGGTTCATCTAGAGTGGTTTTTCAATAACTAAATGTACACTGCTTTGGCATTTGCAGAATGATGCTGATTATTGGCTATTGTCAGATGCTGATGTAAGCATCACGGATATGTGGAGGACAGAATGTATCCTAACTTCATTCAGTTTTAGCTTTCTTTCTTTCTTTCTTCTCTCTCTCTCTCTCTCTCCCTTGAAAATACTCTTCTAAACCGTGTAACCACATTCCATGACTCCATACTATAGCTGAGGTTGACTGGAATAGCTTGGACACCATTCATGAAGACTATGATATGGCTAATGTCAGCGTGCCAAGACCCCAAACTCCAGTGCCTAGTACAACTGCAATGACTTCTGTAGCCAGTACCTCAGGGAGTTAACTGGGATTTCGGTAATGATCCTGAATAAAGACACTCAGCTTATTGCTCGTTGTAAGATACTGAAAATCAGACCCCAAAAGAGTGCCTTAACATGATCATTTTCCTGGGTTACCTTCCAAGTGTTCTTCAGAAAGTCAAAACATGTGCCGGAGAAATGAGATGCAGAGGGTCCTTTGTACAGTATTTCTATAGATAATTTCTGTAATAGAAATAAATGAATAGCTGCTACCAGAATTTAGGCTCCTGGCTCCGTATATTTTTAAATTTGTTGCTCTGTAGTAGCTCATCATGAAAAATAGACTGTCATTCGTAAAATATTAGTCTAGATGTGAAAATCTAATGGTGATATGCTGTGGAGCTAAAAGGTCCATGAGTTGTAAACTTCTTTTCTTCTGGACTAGATATATCGGAAATGAGCACCAGCTATTGTTAGCACAGTCGAGAAAGTAACTCCTTTGTCCCTCTGGGGATAATTGACAATATTAATCAACAGAAGCTGTTTTGGCAACAAAATTGTGACATTACATAATCGAGTATTTCAACATAATTACACTATCAATTCTCTTTATCAACTTTCTTTCCAATCCAACTAGCAACGATAGGTGTAAGAGCTACGGTGGGAGGAAATCGAATTGGAGAAGCAGCCTTGTGTGCAGCATAGGCCAATGCAAAAGCCCCAACTTTTTCTCCAGTTTCATTAGTGGAAATTCCAATCTGTAATACACAAAAACCATGCCATTCAGCTCCACTAGACATTAATTCTTGCATTAAGGGCAACAAGTTGTGTTGTACCTTTTGAAGCAATGTTTGCACATCTACACCAGCTGTGATTAGAGCATAACATAGCCCAAATGATATCAAGGAGAGAGTGATGGAAGTGGCTAAATATGCTCCTCCATATTTTGCTAGCAGCTCCTTGGCTTGGTCTCCTTTTGACTTTTTTTCTTTGTTTTCATCATTTTCTTCCCCCTTTGAGGAAAATATCTGCTTATTGTCCCCCAAAAAATTCATATTAGGTGCACAAAGAATTTGAAAACACGGCTACAATAAAATCTACTGTGATAATGAATCAAGTTTAGTGATAAATTATGACTCTGGAAACCCACAAAAATTATAGCATAGAAATCTGTCAAGTTGAATATGAACTGTGGATTCAGTACTGTCTAACGCAGAAATTAAGTGAAGAGAAGGAACTGTTTACCTTCCAAATACCAGCTTCAAGTCCATACTTCTGTGTGATTTCCTCTGCAGAAGAGTTATTCTTGATTTCTTCTGTTTTTTCCTTCACAGCTCTGATCCTGAACCTGCTGACACTGGACTTCGAACTGGAATTCGATGTGTAAAAGCTGCAGGATTTTCCATTATTGAGTAAAAGTGAAGAAAAAGTAGCCTTTTTGTTCAAGTATTGACAAGGGATCACTTGCAGAAGTGCGGCCATCGTTTGAGAACAAATTTCTCAGATGGAAAGAGTGACAAGTAACTCAATTTCTGACCCCTTTTCTTTCTGAGGCACACCTTACATTTATCTTAAAACCCTCGAACATTTGTTATTCTTGGAAAATCACCCTCTGTATGGTCCTCACCTTTGCCTTCAATGTGCATATGATCCTTACCGTTTATTTCTTGACATTAACGTTCCTTAACTTTGTGTTTTTGTGTACAATTGGTCATTTTTTGAAAAAGACTAATATACACTTAAATTTAATTAGGAAAAATTGTGGCTAGGTCCTTCACCTTTGGAAAAAGTACAAATGGATTCCAAAACTTGTAATAGTGTATCAATGTATCATTATAAGAGCATCTTCATGAATATCTTTAAAATTAAAAGAGATGTTCTTTATTTTAAATAACTAAACTATGAAATCAGATTTCAAGAGACTTTATTTAAATTTTTTAAGAGCATCTCTTAGAGACTTTTTAAATGTAAGATGTTTTCTATATATAGAGATTCAATCCTTAAAATTAGCCTCCCAATAAATTCTATATTTTAATTTTTTAAAATGGAGAGTGAATTTTCATTTAAAGGGAGTCATTTATTCTCAAAAAAATTCAAGTAGGAGGTCGTCCCTCATGTACTTTGATTTGCCATTTAAATGGTGGCGACGGTTAAGTTAAGGCCGATGTCAAATCATGCATACGAATACGTTGGGAGGTCAATGGACGGATGTTTCGACGGAAACTGTCCAAAAGGACCTCCTCTGAAACGTTTGGAAATGTTAGGGGTGACGGGTGCAACAAATCAAATGTTTGGGAAAAGTCTGCTACTATTTGAAAGGTTTGGGGCTTCTGTTTCAATTATCCCTTAATTTAAATATAGTTTAGTTTTATCCAACGTAGGGTGTGACAACATACTCAGATTCTGTTCATCTATCAAATTAACAACTTAAACTGACATCAAATTAGCATCATTGGAAACAAACACTTGATTCATCGTGAATAACTAAACTTACGAAAAGGGCAGCCGTGGCTAATAATTGAAGAGTTTGGAAAATGGCTTTGTCAATCACCTACTGACGTGATAAACTCAAGAATTACACTAGAATTAGATTGTCAAACAAGTTTAACATGAATAAGTTGGATTTTGTATATAGGAGTTTTTAGGATCTACCTAGAAAATTACAGAGCAATAAGCTCGGAGTACTGCATCATAACACCATCTGAAAATACCGAAATAGTATCATCCCTTCTTTTTTATTGGAAAGCAAGATTAACGGTTCATTTGGCTAAGTTTATGTTTTTACTTTTGCTTCTTGTAGAAGAGTTTTATGAATAATCTACATTAGGTCGGTTTCCTCTAAATGCTCTTTTCCAAACAAAACACTTTTAGAAAATTACCTAGACATGTTTACAAGCAATTTTTTAATTTCAAAAGCAGCTTTTGATTTTTCAAAAATCATGCCAAACGGACTCTAAGACATTCGCTGAAACATTCGTTTTATTTACATCAAACCGTGTTGTTTAATTAGTTTAGTTTTAAATCCTTATATGGATAAGGTGATTAATGAGATAATGAGTCTATTCAAATATTGAACTTACCAAGAAACTCATCATCTCACTGTACTTGTACGCCAGAACTTATCTGCAACCATCCCTTAAAGAGTCAACTACCTTAATGTACTTCCTTATTTTCCACGACACGTCTAAATCTTACAAATCTCCATTCATATTTATATACAAAAACCCTGAATCCATTATAGACTCCCACAGGCACACACATGTCTTCTAGCAAGAAATGGAGTTTTAAGAATATATTCAGAGCCAATGGAGTGTGTGGATGTGGGAGGACAAAGACAGAAGACATTTTCGAGCCAAAACCAAAGCCCGAAACTCCATTAGAAAATCTCAAGTCTGTGGATGAAGATGAAGAGGATGGCACTTCCACCACATTTTCTCTTAACAATGAAACCCTTGAAAATGATCCGAAGTGCTCCAGAATGGTCAGTCCATGCCCAAAAATCTGTGACAGTCTAGCCATTGTGAAGGATTCTGAGGACCCTTATCAAGATTTTCGCCAATCCATACTTCAAATGATCTTAGAGAGAGAAATCTATTCAAGAGACGATTTACAGGAGCTTCTCAACTGTTTTTTGGAACTAAATTCACCTCATCACCACCAAATCATCGTTAAAGTATTTGCAGAGATCTGGAATGGCGTTCATCTAAAAACTCGGGCAGCCGATGGCGCCTCCAGCACTGAGGAGATCAAAACTAGTCCTATTGTTCTTCCAGAAGAGTCCCATTCACGTGATACTTAGGTGTGTGGCACGTACAGTGGCCATGTGAAGACATTAAATTTACAGGTGAGAACATGCACGGTGAGTTTTAGGCCTTTCATCATGGGCTTGGTCGCTATCAAATTAATGGGATGACTGAAATGCAGAGAGGCCACAGTTTTAATCTGACGACAGAAACAAATGCATGATAATACATTTTCTTTTGTCCATATATCTTTGTGTGTACATTTTCCATATGCAGACGTTTTTACTGCAGTGTCCCTGTCCAATGTCTATGATCCTTGTTGACGTTCATCCATTTACCATAAATAAGCCGCTGCCACCGTGCCACCTGAGGTGGCACTTTGGGGGTGCGGGAGTAACTTTCGAGTTAATTGATCTCAAAGTCTTGTTCTTTTCAGAGAACTTCCTCTGCAAGAGCTTTGATTATTTGTATATTATATTGATATAAACAAGACTATTACACAACGTGCTATGTACAAGAACCTCTTGCACAGAAGCTAAATAAGAGCTTATAAAAATATTAAGCATCGAAGATTTGAGGTATTTTAAACTCAACTCAGAAGAGAGAGAACACTCGACAAGAATTGGACTGCAGAGACAGAGTATATGAAATACAGGGAATCCACTTCAAGATCCAAACGCAAGTCAAATTTCTTGAGAATACACAATTCAGAGTTATGCTAGAGTGTATTAGAAATTCTGTTCATACATCCATAATTGGATCATAAAAGGAACATCTGGTGGTTTACACAATCAGAAAAAGGTGCCTTCTGGAGGTTGAACAAGCTTTCGGTTGTGTGGCGCAGCCATTTCTTTTCTCAACTGAGTCAATATGTCCTCCATGCTGAATTCCCTCTGCCAATTTGCCAGTATACCAAACTTTTTCGCATCAACCTGTTAGCAAATTCAAGATTCCATCAGAATTCCAATTTCTCAAAAGCATTCCTACGCTCACTCAATCACAGGAAGCTTCGAAAAATGATACGACAGAGTTGAAATTTGAATTTATGGCACCCCATTCTGTGACACAACTTTCAAACCTATTTCTTCTTTTCTTTAAGGTTTTCTGCTCTAATTTCTAAATCATATTCATAGGCAATCTATTATCTGACTTTCATAAAGGGTTTGCAGGATGAGGGTGTAGGGTGTGTGGGGCATGCTGTGAAGCATGGTGGCAATTTTGTGGACTGTGGAGGTCACATGAGAGAGTTGAAAATCGACAGTGTATGTAAGAATGTGCGGGAATGGATGAGCGTGCATTCATGTGCGAGTGGAGGGAGGAGTGGGGGATGAGTAACGACGGTGGATAAAGATATATGCACATATGTTATATACTGCACATACTTCAATAAATTAAATTATAGCACATTGAACAAACTAAATAAGCATATAGAAATTAATCAATTACTGCCAGAACCAAGGATGATAGAAGTTAATACAACAGTATTAATTCAAACCAGTTAGCAAAGATATATGACTTGCTATATCTTCCAAAGTTGCCTCAACATCTGACCCTGGCTTTTAGCAGTTTTTGTTATTTGGGTTAACAATAAATACCAGTTTTTTGTCAACAGACTAACAAGCATATCAAATTAATTCAAAGTTTTCAAAGCAAAAAACAATGAAAACCAACTTTACCACTCCATTCTCTGGATTCACACATGTCATGTTGATGCGCGAGTGGAATCGAACGCTTGGGGGTTTCTCTGGGTAATCTTTGTCGCAGAATAGCTTCAATTGATAAATGCGACCTTCGTGTACAGTCTGATAAGATATACAAGTGTTTGAGTTTGATTTGAGGAAGAACAGTGAAAAAGATAGAAAATCTCTCAAATGCAATCTCATTGAATTAATATTTTCAACTTATGCACATGACCAACGAAAAATTAAGTGCCCAGTCCAAATTCATACAAGCATTTATCGAGTTATTACTACTAAATACTAATATTAGAAAGTACAATTAAAAACCCTTTCCCTGGCAGCAAGACGCCAAACACGAGTTTCTACCAAGCACCACGACATTATCTCTTTTTCTTTACTCTCCCTTTAAGGTTTAAGATTGTCGAACATCATTTACATTTCATCAAAGTTGCCTATCCTCAGTCATGATAGTGCACAACATCGTGCTCAATGGAGTGCTGACCAAGTTTCAGCCTCAGATTTAAGCCAATAAGCCGACTGGTGCAGTCTATTCAATGTATGGTAATTAAAGACCAGGACTATCAAAAGAAATAATATGAACTACTACCAAAGCACACATTTGACCTCATGCACACCTAACACGTCCCTTAGTGTGAACTGTCCATACATAGCAACTTAATATGAAGTGGTAACTTCCCTGGCAAGATATTTTTGCCGCAAGACAAACGCAATCCTGACTTGATCCATAAGACCAATTGATGCGCTGGCTTTTGATATAGACTTCCACCAAGATCTCCTGACCACGAGTGAAACCTATTGCAGGCTTGGGACTTTGTGGGAAATCAGAAGTCACAGCAAGCCACTAATTGAAACACACACACAGATAGAGACACTCAAAGCGCCACAGAGATAACCATCCACACATCTCAAGCAGACGGCAGGCAAAATATACATGTTCATTTTTACCATAAAACCTTCAAATTCAGTAATGTTTTTTGATGTATTGAAATCTGATTCGACTCTTTTTATTGTAGAGATGATGAAGCTGTTTCCTTTGGGATAGTTGAGGGTAACTTTTTTCCTTTCATAGTCTTCTTTTCGTTGAGAGGAGAGAGAGAACTATAGGTGACTCTTGTAGTGAAAAGATTCTAGGCAGGGGAGGAGCTGAGGTGGCTTGTAGGATGATGAGGGGAAAGTCAGGGATATAATAAATGAATTGGGTTAAAGTGAGACATGCTTCGAGGGTGTTTAGAGAAATTTGTACTAAATAACATAGATATACAAGAGCGAAGTTCAAAGATCATCTTACATTGTGTGGACCAATTATGGTACCAGTCCAAGAACGCATGTAAATGTCATCAGCATCATCCATTCCATAGCTAACAGAACCATCTCCAATACCCTTTTCCCCACGTTCAAGTTCCTCCAGTAACTTGAAGTTTCGAGGAACTGCCAACCAATAAAAGTTTTTATACCAGGTGAGTTATAAACTTGCAAATCCAAATTGCAAGATACTTGTAAAAACTTTATAAGAAATTACAGTGGTCTTTCCGTCTCCTTATACACAATACATTTACTTCTATTAGGAACACGGACAACATAAAAGAGGTCCAGCTGTCTTTTACAACAGCTCCAATCAAATGTTATATGTCCTTTTTCTATGACTTCATGACTTATTGTGTGGAAAAACAGGGAAAAAGGATATAACTAAAACAATTTCAGACAAAGTAATTAAATCCGTGAAGCACATCTAGGCAGCACCTCCAATGTCTCGATTGCAAAGAAGAAAGTGAGTTATAAGTGAAAAAGATTTTATCCAAAATACAGCAGTGCCTAATACATTCAGAAAACTGAAGTAAATTTCAGCAAATATCAATTGATTCACCGTGATTTTGTGAAAGTAACCATTCCTGTAGTCTGAAAACAAGTCATGTGTATTCAGTAATCAGTTCAATTTCAGAAGCTTAAAATTAACACCACATAATAAACTAAATAAAATCTACATTTTAGACCAAAATAGGAAATAAAATCCAAAAATGCAATAGATCTCACACTCCCCATCATTACTCAGACATGCTCACATGCCTAATTATTCTTTGTGCTTATGCACCTGTTTTGAACAAGCGTGTTTAGAAGAAAGACCATATTCTCTTAGCCCATGTACCTCTAGAACAACTAGGCAAAACAAAGAAGAGCAAGATCCTGAAATAAACTTTGTGACCAGAACAAGAACTTCTCGTCACCTAGAAGTTATGGGGGTTTATCTATGATTTACTCCAACATAAAAATCTAAAACCTACCCAAACACAAGAAGTCGTGCAAGACTCATATTCCAGCACATAATAAACTAAATAAAATCTACTTTTTACACCAAAATAGGAAATAAAATCCAAAAATGCTACCCATCATTACTCAGACATGCTCACGTGCATAATTATTCTTTGTACTTATGCAGCTGTTTTGAACAGGCTTGTTTTTGAAGAAAAACCGTATTCCCTTAGCCCATGTATCTCTAGAGCAACTAGGCAAAACAAAGAAGAGCAAGATCCTGAAATAAACTTTGTGACTAGAACAAGAACTTCTCATCACCTAGAAGTTATGGGGGTTTATCTATGATTTACTCCCAACATAAAAATCTAAAACCTACCCAAACGCAACAAGTCGTGCAAGACTCATAATCCAGCACTTTTAGTCTAAAAAGATAGCATTTTTATTTTTTAGCAGTAAAATCCATCATCATATCAAAATCAAATGCTAACCATTCATTTTAACAATTCTAACTCACCATATAAAGATTAAAAATAATCAAAAGTACCGGACACTGAATTGTGTAGATACCCACTTGAAAAATTCAGTCATACGAAAAATGATTTAGTGCGAACCAGAACAGATAACCTAAAATTGAATATAAAAAGCATAAACATAACAGTGCTTGTGCATGAGGGCGAGTGGATAAAGAGTGAATTAACATACCAACAACGCTGGATCCTCCGGAACCGAATGTCATTGAGATATTTGCGAAACAGAGTTGACAAACCCAATTGATCTAAAACTTGAAGAATGACTAGAGACCACGACTTGGAAGATTTTAGAAAAGGGCAGATAGCTAAAGTCGCGCAATATTTTCTTGTTTGAACCAAAATCGCACTAGTTTTTTCCCTGAAGTCGCATTTGGTGAATTTCTCTTTAGGGAAAGTCAGCTGTACGGCGGCACTCAGACAAACTCAATTTACGGCAAAACTCATTCATATTATTATTTAGAAAACTATATCAGTATTTTTTGTTTCTGCTTATTTTAGTTTATTAATTTTTAAGGAAAAGTTGTATGGTAAGTTTGCAATGCTCATCTCGCGTAAAAAAAAAATTAAAGTAGAATTTCTATAAATACGTCTATGCTTAATACATCTTGATTGACAATTATGAGCTCTTACAATTGAGTCATCATAATGACATTGTCATCTATTAATTTGTTTACGCGACGTGATGGTACTTGTTTAGTAATTCGGTAGTTCAACTTATCTAAATAATGGAGAGAATAAGACCTACATACAAATAAAAAGTCAGAAGCCACGAAGAGGTTGATATACTTATTCGTCAATCAAATGATCATCGATTTTTAAACAAAAAAATTAGAGTTAAGAGTCTGTTTGAGTTTCATTTTTTGTCCAAAATGCATTTTGGAATAATATTTTGATGGAAAATGTGTGGTTAAAAAATAAGAAAAAATTTTGAATTTGCGTGTAATATTATTTTATTGAAAAATATGATTGAAAATGAGAGAGATAAATATATTTTGAAAATAATGAGGACCAAACAAAGGTTAACTTTTTTTTTTTTTTTCATACGGAGAAAAATATTAATAATATAAAATAAAATTACATATAAAAGAATAATTCAGATTTTAGTGGAGCCAGTGCCCGCGGTCGCCTCCAACTCCATCCCCATTGCGTTGAATTTTTATAAGGGAAAATTGTAGTCACGGTACTAAACATTTCATTTAGCAGCAGACTTGACCCAATCCTTTTTATTTGTGTCAATCACGATATCAAACATTTTAAAAATTCGCACATGGAGTTCAAATTGATAGAATCCATTCATTTAACTGTTAATTGAGCAGAATGCCAGAATGATTAATGTTCACTAAATATAAAAATGACAAAACAGTAATTTTGCAATTTCAATATAAAATAATTTATAATATTCAATTTCAAAAAAATAAAAGGGACACCACTGTTCACCTCTCCACCAACCCAACCCACACCCCACAGACCCCAACTAAATAAAGATATAATCAACCCACCATTGTCGCCGCCACGACCACCATCACCCGCCACAATCACCACCACCAAGCTACGATTAACTCTTCAAGTCCACTCCTCAAGCAAAATCACACACCCGAATAAATCATTCTCGATACAGCCAGTAAATAATCTCCTTAACACGTTGCAAATCGGTCGAATAAATCATTCTCAATATAGTTGAAAATTCGAGTATTTGGCTCAATATCACGAACATATCATTTGCTTTCCCTCGAGCCAAACTCTCCTTTGGATTCAATCTCAAATCGTGTTCAAATGTTGGGTAAATGGAGCAAAATTTGGGTATAAAAAGAGTCAGATCTCTTTGAAATAAATTCAAAGTGGATCTGATATGAGAATTTCCTTTTCTTTATCCAATAATATTTGGTAGAAAATGAGCAAGTAGGTATTAGCATCATGGGATTTGTTGTTGTTTATACTCAAAGGTCCCAAATTCATCGAATATGTTGTTCAAAAATTGATACTGTTGATTTTGTACCCAAATTTTGCTTCATTTACCAAGGTGAATAATGAATTGTATGTCTAATTGTCGGTGGTAGTGACGTGAAGGTGCGAATGGATGATTGGACGGTGCTGATCGGAGGAGATGGTGTGGTGCCGACGTTGGGTGGATCTCTGGATCGATTTGGGTGGGGGTAAGTGTGGGAGGTGGGGGAAGAAGAATAATGTTTTTCTTTTTTATTTTTTTAATTACTATAATATTACTTCATGTGGAATAATATAAGAGTACCATTTTACCCCATCTACATTGGTCAAAAGAGGTCAATTTTTTTTAATGATCAACTAACAGTCAAATGAATGAATTCCATCCATTTTGATTCCAGGTGTGAATTTCTAAAAGATTTAGTATTGTGGGTGGTACAAATGAAAGATTTGAATCAAGTCTACTACTAAATAAAATGTTTTGTACAGTGACTGCAATTATCTTTTTTTATAATTGGAAATTGGTAATACTTGGACGCGACATGCTTTAAAATTATATTGAACTCTTTATCTAAAAGTTTAGAGTGCCTCACGTACATAAACATTTACATAAGGAATTACATAATGTTACATGACAATCTATCATTTGTCAGTGTAAAACACAGTCAACTTGTTCATCCAATCTTTTCCTTCCACATCATTTTATGTAATTCCTTATGTGTCATTTTTTTGTACAAGTAGCATAATCCATTTATTTTATTCTATTATTCAGACTATTTTCATTTTCATTTTTACAAAATATTCAAAACTCAGTTGGTTTGATATTTTCAAAAATGATTAATAGCAGAAAATCTTCCTTAAAACGTTTACATTTGTGATATATTCCATACCTATTGGAAATACAGAAAACCTTCTATTTGAAATCTTGTGCAAAAAATCTTCTGCCGTCAAGTTTTGTCAAATTTTTCGTTAAAATTAAAAAGAAATAATTGCAATTTCAATACCAAAATTTTTATTTTTTCACAAATTAAATCCAAATTTTTTATATGTGCCACTTACAATCACAACTCTTTAAAATTTTATTTTTCACCCCACTCCATCTTCTTCCCAAAATAAATAAATAAATAAATAAATAATAAATAATATTATCTCCTTCAAACAACGAAGATTTTCTAGTATTGCTAAAGCAAAAAAAAAAAACTCAAGCATTCCACAGTAGAGTCTTTTCTCTCCTTTCCCATCAGTCTAATCACACCCAACTCAAACCATTATCACATTAACTTTAGAATTCCTCTCGAGCCTTAAACTCGTTTTGTACAAAAATGGAAATCTCTCGGTATATCAATCAAGAATAATAACTTATCTTTTTTCTCTTTTTATTTTGATGATCTCCATCTGAAAAGTGGCTTATCAAAGACCTAAATGATTATATACCGATGGTTTATAATTTATTGTTTTAAGACCACCTTATCTATTGTTCCTTCTTTTTCTGTCTTCGTCCAATTTTCATACAAATTTGAAACTAGTGCGGCAATCTCAGATAAAAAAATATTATGTTGATTTAAGACCACTTTGTCTATTGTTTCTTCAGATATTAGAGATATCTGCGTTATGGATTCTTTCTCGAAAGTAGAGATTTCGAACTCAGGGAACAACAGTGTCAATATAGGGATCCCGACATCTTCTTCGGCTGGGACATCATCTTCTTGGGGTTCAACTTTAAGTTGATGCGAGAATCAAAAATGTCGGGACTGGAACATTTGTGGGCAGTACCTGAAAAACCACAAGCCTTTGCTTCCGCTTGCATGGTACATATATTGAATTAAGTTGTGAGATTTAAGATCCAAAATAAAACTCATTATATCACGAAGGATCGAAAAAATTAAAGGAAAAAGGGGAAAAAGTGAATTTACCGAATGTTTTTTTCGAGATTCGAATTGAGGAATCCATAGTATTGGGGAAGATGATGAGATGAGGTGAGGTGGGGTGGGTGGAATGGGGTGAACAATAAAGTTTAGAAGATTTGGGATTGTAGTTGGCACATATAAAAAAAATTGGATTTAATTTGTGAGAAAATAAAAAGTTTGGGTACTGGAATTGCAATTATTCATTTTTAATTTTGGCATTTTTTACCCCTTTCAATGAAAAATTTGATGGAACTTGACGGTAAGGGGGATTTTTGTACAAAATATTTCAAACATATGGGTTTTCTGCGATTTCTAATAGGTATGTAGTATATCGCAAATGGAAACATTTTTAGGGAGATTTTATGCTATTAATTCTTTAAGAAATAAAGTTAAACTTATACCCTATGTTTGACTCCCATTTTTTCAAAACTCATTTTCAACCACACTTTCTTTCATAAAATAATTTTACATGTAAATTGAAAACTATTTCTTAATTTTTAACCACGCATTCATCAAAAAATCTATTTCATAATACATTTTCTTACAAAAATGGGGCTCCAACAGGTATAACATAAAATCCAAAATACATTTTGTAATGTTTTGAGCATTTTCAATGTAAAATCTGAACTCACTCAAAACATGGAAAATTAGGATTTTAAAAAATTATTTACATAAAATTCAAAAACTCTTAAAAAAATGAAATTCATAAAAATAAAAAATAAAATTTCTATAAACTCAAAAAAATTAAAAAATATATAAATTTCTAAAAAAATAAATTTCTAAAGTTTAAAAAAAATAAAAATAGTTCAAGCTCTTACTAATTATTTAAATATAATATATTAATATAAAATTATTCTATTTTAGTAAATAATCAAATTCATGAATTAAAATGTCACAAAATAATTTCTCAAAATTTCGAACCAAACTTATTTTCTAATTTTTTGTTTTGATAAAGTTTTTTAGAATGATAAACCCAATATGTCTTAACAATATTAAGCCCCTGTTTGGCACATATTCTCTCAAAATATATTATTTCAAAACTCATTTTAACCATACATTCTTTACTAAAATAATATTTTTCATCACATCAATAATTTTTTCTTACTTTTTAAATATATATTTCCCATCATATCACTATTTAAAATACCCATCAAACATGCCTTAAAATAGACCCTCAAGACAGAAAATTTAAAATGAACCCAAAAATAAAACTAAAATATAAGTCAAATCGACCCTAAATTGGTATAAATTATTCTTGAAAGGTGACATTCATATGGAGGTTGGATTTCATTAAAGTCCCAACACATGCATACTTTTTAGGATAATGATGAATGTACACTCCTTGGTGTACATCCATT